TTGTATTAGCATTATAATTGTTATCAATACTGATTAAGATTATTATTTTAACTATTAGTCATTATTATTATTATTATTATATAGAATTACAAATAAAATGTCACTTTATATACATTTTGTCACTTGTCTCTCATGCTTCATGGTTAAAATGTCTTCTGCATCACCTTCTTTTTGTCCATTTGTCATAAATAAAGATGCTACCATTCCCCTCCTTGTCATTTTGCATTCTTATAATGAAATCGGTTAATTCATTCATCAATGAACAATGCCAGCAAGGAAATTGCTAATGCTAATAAGCTACCCCCCCCCACACACATTTGTTAACAGGTTAACAAATGTTGATTTACAACTACAAACATTGGAATTATTTGTTAAGGTCACTTTACAAGCTCAGTCATTTTGACCCTAATGTGAGTCTATATACACGTATGGGGTGGAGTCATGCGCATGACTGTAGTTCTGATCCGAGGTGGATTCTGCCATCCCTATGAAAACAATCATGACATGTGCACCTGCACAATGACACCAAACTGAGTATTAGTTTCTATTCTATTGTTATTTCATGTAAAACGGTTCAGCAGGCTGTTTATTACAACTAAGCTGAGGGAATAATGTATTTCCAGATATCTGTGATCATCTAATCAGAGTGCTGTTACTTTTGTCTTTTTCTCTGTACTCTACAATATGATATTGATATGATTTCTCTCTATTATAATGTTTTTTTCCATCCAGCCAAGGTCTGGATCTTTGGGGACACCTACAACCTCTTGCAGCAATGATGGAGGCCCTGCACCACCTCCACCTGCAGTGTCCACACATGAAGATCTTCTCTTCCAAACCATAAACACAGTGTCTTATATGATAATATAGTATTTTTTAATGTAACACTTGTGGCCATAACATTGTTCAGTCTTATCAGCTATGCTCCTCCTTGTTCCCTTCACCCTCACTGTCGTATTACACTCTCTGCCCCATGTCAGACATACAATCACATGACTTTTGGACTCCACTGTAGCTGTAACAAACTGTCAATAGTTTAAAACATTAGAGTTCATATTTCACAGTCCTCAGCCATTATAGTTAATATCAGTGTGCTGTTCCAACAGCATCACTTATTGAGAGGGAGATTGTTTCTGGAGCAAATAAATATTAACTGTCTCACACATTAGGACTCATGATGAATAATGATTATACTTGTTACTAAAGATTCTGTTGCTGTTGATTCAACTACTTCTTTTTATTAAGCAAACTTACATATGACAGAGAAATTCAGCTTTAACTTCATCCACAACTATTTTTTGATTTTAAATAGTTACAGTTGATTGTAAATTGTACACTACAGTATTTAATTAATCCATTTATTACATTCTTTTATACATGTTTCCAGTGTTGGAAATTGTTTAAATTAATGTAGTTTATAATGTCCAATAAAGTTATTTATGAAGCTCTTGCTTTAACTTTGTTGATGGTTTTTATAGAACACATCTGGTATGAATTTTCACAATAGTAACACGTACAGCATTGTGTGACTATTTCTATGTTAGCTTTAATCAACAACATAAATACTAGAAATATTTAAATGTTGTCTGACAACACTGACAATGAAGGATCAAGAAACATGCTGATGTTAATTGGTAAATACTTTCACCTGTGGAGGTGGTGACAGTGCTAGAGATGATCCATCACTTAATCACAGTTTAATATTTATAAATTCTGATCTTAAAAGTGTTGCTACCATCACCTGTCAACAACAGCAGAAATGAAGTTGCAGGTAAGAAACTGAACCTGTGAATACTGAAGACAGAGAATAATAAACTAACTCATCAGCAGTTAGTCTGTCATTTCATCAGAGGAAGATGAACTGGGAGAGGTTTTCTACCATCATCATCATCACAGCACATTAGAGAACTAAGGATGTCCATGCAGTCTCCCTTCTCCACAACCAGGTGAATGGAAACAAATGGGCTGCTCTGTACATGAGGTCCTCCTTCTGTTGGCACAGATCACTCAGTTTTCACAGTGTGGAAACCTTTCAAATGACAATAAAACACAAACACTTGAGTTAAGATGCGGTGGATCACAGTTAATCACAAATATCGATCAGCTGTCAGGATAGGTGCATGAATGTCTGCTTCAGTTGAGGACTGGTTTGAGTATTAAATGAACAATCTTCTATATGACAAATATTTGTCTACACATTTTGTAAACGTCACGTTATCTTAACTTGAACTATCACGACGTCTTGATGGACAATGTATTAACCAACATTAACGCTGCGCATTACACTAACGCAGATCACTTAAACTGGGTCACATGTGGAGAAACACAAACCAAACGTCGTTAGATTAACGTCGATTAAATTCACCTTTTTATTGGGCTTTGACTGAACACCTCCACGGGCTAACCCAGGTTGACACAGGTTATCAGCCCAGCGGGGCCAGGTACCGTTAGCATAGCAATCGCTAAGTTATCAGCTAACGCTAGCACTAGCTGGCTAGCTTGGTTAGCAAGGTGCATCTTCACCTGAACTGTGATATTAACAGGGAAGCTAATTTTGGCTAGCAAAGAAACAGGCTTAAAACAAAATGCACTTACTGGAAAAAACTGAACCGCCGACTCCTCCGAGTGTCTTTTAGAACAACTGAACACCGAACAAGACATTTACCGGTAAACAACATGTTGGAGCTAACTTTGATGAACTGAAAACACAATGACAAGTCAAATGTCTGACACGTCGCTCTGACGTCATATCCGGATTAACAGGCTGGTCCCTCTGTCAGTCAATGACGCGGTAGCCACGCCCTAAAGCCACGCTGCTTTAACGTCTATTTTTCTTTTAAATAAAATATAATTTTAAAAAATGAACATCATGTTGTATTGAAGAAAACTTCAAACTAGAAATTCAGACCATAAACACATAACGAATCAAATTTGAAAATACGTGTTGAGTGGGAGTGCTGCTGCTGGGTGTCTGTACTCCTCACTGCTACTCGGTCTCCTGTTTCGTGGATCATTTTAAATCTGAAAAAATCTTATTTTGAGCGGATTTGAGTTGTAGGGTTTCAATGGAGAACTGGAATATTAGGAAAGGTCGGACGGAATCTGTTTGGTCACCTAAGAGAAGTTAAGTGAATTTATATCCTGCAAAAATATCAGGTAAGAAAACATTTACTCTATTGTTTTTGTGACGTTGTTTGTTTTCGTGTCGTTTATTTCGCATTTAATAATGCCATAGAAGGATAAACAAATGTCATTAAGTATGTGTGTTTATACTGCCTCATTAACGTGTTAAAGTGAAAAGCTAACCGCGATTAGCGCGCTAGCCATAACAGCATTTTTTTCAATGTAGAAGCAGCTAATTTTACTGTGTTGCTAGTATGTGTTAATGTTGTCAGCTGGTTTAAAGCTTAAACCAACTGATGAGAGGTAAATGAGTGAAGTGAATGAGTAAAGTGAAAACTGTCTTATACACACTTAGACAGAGAGGACCAGGAAACACATTGAGGAGCAGAAGTCTCCCGCGCAGCTATCGCTTGGTCTGGACTGTTGTCTCCAGCTACCACTCATGGTTCCCATCGCCGGGCATCACCCAGTTCCTCATTGTTCACCATGTTCCAGATGACAACTCAGGGATTAGTGAGTAATAGCTAACATGCTATTTTGTTTGTAGCTCCGGTTAGGGTTAGACACACTGAGCAAGAGAGAGAGAGAAGCAAGAGCTAACTGCTAAGCTAAAGTAACAATCAGTTCTAAACAGCATGTAAACAGAAGCTGAATCAGTGAAGTTCGCTATAAGCAGCAGAGAGCTGTGGGTGCTGGAGCAGAACTGGTCAGTTTAAATGTACAGCAGGTAGTTAGTCACTGTAATGAAGAAAACAACAACATTAACTGTGTTCAGATAGAGCAGCAATAAACTCTACCAGTAACAGAAACTCCAGAGACTGGCGATGAGACACTACAGTGACGTCAGCACGTAAACGGTCACTCACTGCTGTTAATGAAAGGTGATGTACTCTGAGTAAACGTGTTACTGCGGCACATTTTTAAAAGGGGAAGAGGAGGGTAAAACATCTTATATGGGGATGATGATAATAATTGTAGTATTAAACAACATCTTTAGGCTGTTATTTCTTTTCTCCCCAGATGCTCCAAGGATCCAGCTGATTACTGGCAGTTTGAAGGTGGATTTTTCTTCATCTGCTCCGTTGCACCGTCACTTCTGGTAAAGATTCATAACCTTTGTGGTATGTTTTGATTTGACTTATTAATACACTGTATAGTTGGGGTTCAGACATAAAAGATAGTATAATGTTTGTCCACATATGTTGTAAGAACTATATGGAGAATACTGTGGAAAACAAGATAAAACTGAATTGGAAGATACAAGCTAAAAAACAACAGACCACCCCCCCCTCAGCCCCACAGCCCCCCCTCTTTCAGAGGTGACATCATCACCTCCTCATTATAGGAACCTTAACAGGCAAGATAGACCAATGGAGAAATGCCAGTTTTAGTTCTTCAGATCATCCCGGGGCTCTGAAGAACTATTTGTGAATAATTGGTTGATATTGTAAATTTACATCTGAATATATTAAATAAAAGTGTTATAAAGTCAATAGTGGTGCGTATGTTATTTGTAATTAAGTTTCCAACCCCACTTTAGTTGAAAGACTACATACAGAGAGTTAACAATTTAATTTGCATTTCTTCAGTATATTATATTTTATGAGAAATGTAAGAGAATTGATCTGAATCTGAATCATTAAATATTGCATTTAGATTGTGCTTCTACAGGTTTTAACATTACTTTACACTTATAGATTCAATGTTAACACAAATACTGCAAGTTGAAGTTTGAGATTCTTTTAATCTTTTTTACACAGAATTTTTTATTTTGTCTTCCAAAACAAAAAGTTAACTTTACAATATTAAGCATGTGTTAATATTTCATTGAATGGTACTTAATTTTATTATTAGGAAAACATTTCTGTTTATCTGAAAACAGCTGCCTGAATATTGATTATAGCTGCTTTAAAAAGAGACTTGTATACATGCCAGTTTGGACTCCACTGTATTTTGGACTTGCGGGTAGAGGTGGCAGCTTAATTACAGTTTGTCACAGGTTTGATCCCCACAGAGACGATGTGTGTACACATATAGAAACACAATCATGTGCAGGCTGGCCACACAGTGTGACATGACTTGTGTAATGTGTTTCTGTGCATGTGTCCGTCCATCCGTCCATAAAGCTGTAAGTGCAGAAACAGCACTACACTTCTGCCTGAGTAGCTATACTCAGCGTTACCATGGCAACAGTATCACCTCTTCCCTCGCCTGCTGAGGCTCTTTTTTTTATAATGTCTGTCAGTATCCTCTCTGTTCTCTCAGTTTAATTCACTTCTTTTTAGTTTGAATACTGGTTTTCCCACTGTATCACCGAATGACACTCATTCTATTGAGAACAATTTAGAAAATAATATTTCATATGCTCAGAGCTTTTATTTTTTTTATAATTTAGTATTGCAGCTACATAAAACTGTGATGAAATACATGACAAACATTTGAAGACACGCCACCATCAGGAAAACAAGACCTAAATCAAAAACAGCAGAAATGGTCCTTTAAATTTTAACAGCCCAGTTGCAGTCCAGTCGGCTGTGAAGTTGGATAAATCCCAATTAATCAGCTTTTTTATGCAGATGACACATTTTTCTTGAATTATTTTGGTTTTCTCATAAAATTCCGACCTTATTTTCATAATATGATTTTTTTCATAGTTATGACTTTATTCTCATATTAAAACTTTTCCTTCATAATATTATAACTTTTTTCTCATAATTTAAGATTTCTTTTTTTCCCTCAATGTGGCCCTAATTCTCTAACTGTAGTTAGAGTAGAGAAGCTGCTCTTGAAATTTGTGATATATTGTTATATAAATAAAGTTGACTTGACTGCTGTTGGTTCTACGGGCTAAAGGTGCCTTTAATAATCTACTATTATTATAATTACGTTTTTATTATTTAACATAATTAGAAAGAAATCATGTTTCATTAATTAAAACCTGTATTCACACCCTCTTTGTGCTTGTTCTGTATCCCTGTAGTAGTGTAGTCAACCAGACAGGACAGGTCTCCTCCCCCTTGCATCATCATCATCATCATCATCATAACACGGAAGCAGTAGACAGTCAGAGGGGGGCAGGAGACGCAGACACAGGGGGGAAGGTCCACACAGGTGAAAACGGGGTTAAAGGCAGACGGAGAGACAGGTGGATATCGGTGCAGAGAGGTAAAGGCGGGAAGGTGAACTCAGTCACAGAGCGAACATCATGGCGTTGATCCCCTCGCAGGTTCTCCGGGTCGCCATCCTGCTGTCGTACTTCTCCATCCTCTGCCACTACAAAGCTCTGGACATGCCGGCACACCAGACCTACGGCGGCAGCTGGAAGTTTCTGACCTTCATCGACCTGGTAAGACCAAACGCCCCCCCCCGTTTAACAGCCCCCCGCCCGGGGAGCTAGCTTAATGCTCGCCGCGCTGCAGACTCCGCTTCTCGTTGTCGTTGGATTTAAACACTCGTTCACCGTTTCCGCTTCCCGCCCTCTTTGTTCCGGTCTTTGATTCACCGCTCGTGAAGAAGGAGGCGGTAAAACTGCGGTGATTTACACTGAATGTGTCTGGAGTCGCTTTAAAGCCTTCAACGTGGTTTACCGGTGAGCTCAGTGTGTGGCGGCTGAACCGGAACAGGTGTAGTGCTTCAGACTGCACCTCTGTCACAAATGCTTCCCCTGCGCGGGGGCGCGCCGCGCGTACACTGCTGACTCTAAAGGTTTCCCAGTTTCCCTGCTGAAGGGAGGTTTTAATTTATATATCCCCTCCCAAAACAAACAAACAAGCAAAAAACAAAAACATACTTAAGCTGATTTAAACAAGAAAATTTAGGAAGATGAATAAATGAATAAAAATAAAGATGAGACAGAGAAATATAATATAATAATGAATAAGACAGCCGTTCTTATTCCTTTCTACTCCCTCTGCCCCCCCTTTTTTTCACCCCCTCCATTTATTTATTTGTTTTTTATTATTAATATTATTTTGTATCATATTTGTTTTCTGGATCGTCTTCCATCTTATGTCAAATAGTTTTGCTAGATTCCTAATCCTGTGATTTATTATCTCCATTTTATAGATATCAGTAATTGTGTCCTTCCATTTACTTAATTGTGGTTGAAGGGAGGTTTTCACATGGCTACACCCCAGATTTATAGTTAATTAGCTTTTATTGTGGGATTTGCCTTTTTAAAGAGAAAACTATGGTGGCCCTGAGAGCTCAGTGTGCTGCAATGTGAGAAAACACATGCAAACAGACAAAACACAAACAAATACAGAAAACGTCTTCATCAATTTGACAACACACACGCTGCAAATACTCGCAACACAACCAAATACACAAAGGTGCTGCAAGTAGCACAGACAACAATGGGAGTGTTTCCAGGGGACTCAAACAAGTGATGAACCAGGCTGGGATGCACTTGTTGTTGAATGCTTTGTGATTTTTTAGGTTAAAAGCATTGAGCAATAAATGCACATTGATGATTTATAATACATGTATTCGGCTATAATACATCCATGCAAGTGTGTCCTAGCGAGGTTCATCACTTTTTAGTGTTCCCCTGGAAACACTTCCGTTATGTTGTGAGTATTTGCAGCACGTGTTGTTAAATTGATGTTTCCTGAATTTGTTTGTGTTTTGTCTATTTGCTGTGTTTTCTTAAGTTGCAGTGCTTTGACCTCTCAGGGCCACCGTACAAAACATTTATATAGTTTCCATAAAATAGTTCTGTCAAAAATGTTTTGCCATACACAGAAGGTACCAATCAGGGCTTTATTTTCTGGTTTATAATAACAATAATAATAATGATGATAAAGAAAACTTTATAAAGTTTTAGACATTTTTCCCTAGTCAGCAGTCACAGTCAATTTATTTTTCATGGTGTTACTATGTGGGAATCATTATTTATGGCGCTCATGGTTCCAGAAGTGAAATCCCATTCATTTCTCCCATAGACAGTATTCAGTGACTCACAGTTGGAGCTCTCTCTGCAGCTTGGATCCACATGAAACTCTCCTGGTTAAATCATCAGGACAAAAAAAAAACTGAGTCAGAGAATATCTGGTTCTTTGATAGAAAGTCGAAGATACATAAAAACCTCCAGGTAGGCGTTAACTACGACTCCCAAGGTGCATTTTGGCAAGAAACATCCAATGACTGAACTTTAAAGTCTTTGCACAGTGAAAACTAAAGATGACAGTGTTGAGAAAAGCGGCTTAAATCAATGCAGTTTTAAATCCTGGTTCAGCTGTGGGTGAATGCTGAAACTATGACGCCATGTTTTATTTTATATCATTTAAACTGGTGGCTGTAATACAAACCTACCTGTGACTTTATCTAAGAGAGTAACAGTAAAGATGTAGTTTAAAGAAAACCTGGAACAACAGACCTACAGTAAAGTTAAATGTATCATATAGAGATCATCTATAATCTATAATATTTATAATAATAAAAGAAAAGAACGTGCTCAGCACAACCCAGTCTGTTCTACTAAAGGATGACAGTGACATAACTGTTAATTCCACCCTAATCTGCCAGTTTGGGTTATATAAAAATATTATCTTATTGTGTTATTGCAGATTTTTTAATGTCAAAGGAAGAGTCCAAATCAAACATCAATAACCCCTGGGTGGGTCTTGCTTTATAAAATGTTCTTACAGCAGCTGTGCAGCTCATAAAACAGTCCACACAATAACACACTTGACAAAAACAAACAGACCGACACAGTCACAGCCCAACGTTAGAAAGATGAAGAGAAAGAGAATAAAACAAACTATAAACAGAATAAAACAAACGCAGAAAGTGAAACATGACGCATGAAACACTAAAAGTTAAAATAATGTTTTTCCATAAAAGCCAATAGTATGTTCCTGCAGTGCCGCATTTCTGTGTAGTTTTAAAGGTTTATTTCACCCGAACACTCCTTTCTGTCTTGTGGCTGCTACGAGTTGCATGTAGGGTGGTTTGTGTAATGAGCAAAATTATGAAATTAACAGATAAAATAAAGATGGAATCATATGCCATGGATTTTGCAGTCACTAGATCTCGACCAGATATTTGAAAGGTTGGAGAGAGGCACGACTCCAGGGACAGACTTAAGATGAATTCATTATTATAGACGGCTAAAAATAATAAAGTAATTAGTTGGCTACTCTTAATATATTTATAATAGCTGTCATACTCACACACAACAGATGAATGCTTTACACTGCACCTGATTATAAAGATGAACATTATTACACAGGAGAACCAAAATGCATCAAATGTAATGTGTGTAGTTTCTGTTCAGCTTTAAATTCAAGGTAAAACATAAACATCAACACTGAGGTTCTCGAAAATAAAAAGTGCCCTTTAACACACATGTAAAAGCTTTGTAACAGCTGACGCCTGTGTCACTGATTCTCAAGTGAAATATTAAATCAAGGAGTTTACACAAAAACTGGAAGAGGACACAAACGCACAACAGATCCCATTCATACGAAACAATACATGCATACAAACGTTCACAAAGAGGCTGTTCTGTTAGCATGTTAGCTTTAGCATGAGCCAAGAGCTAGCTGTAACAACAAATCAATGCACCTTTCATGGTTTTATTTCTGTTTATTTCAGGACTTATTTCTCCTCTGGTTATTTTTCTTTGAGCGCTGTGAGACGTTCAGAGTTATAAAACCTGTAGCTGCTCACTGCTGTTTATTTACAGGGATGTTACACTTCTGTTCATGAAGCTGCTGGTTCGTCCTGTGATAGAAACACAAGCGTTTGGTTTTGCCCTTAGTTTGGAAAAGTTTTTGTTACAGGCTTTAAAAAGCAAATAAAAAAACACAAACAGCAACAGTAACAACAACAATAACAACAGTTATACTTATTACGACTGTTCTGCTTTGATATTTATTACTATTAATGATAATAACTCATATGTATCTAATAAAATATTGATTGATAATTGGCCCAAAAGGCTAATAAACATCATTATGTGTTTCAGTTAAGGCAAACTAATCCCCTCTGAAGTGCATACTTACTGTGTGTGTGTGTGTGTGTGTGTGTGTGTGTGTGTGTGTGTGTGTGTGTGTGTGTGAGAGAGAGAGAGAGCGTGAGAAATAGCTGTGTCATATTTTCCACATTAGACCTCTCCTCCTGGTTAACTGTGCTTTTAATGACCTGTAAACACCAGCAGCCAGGAAACACACACCGCTACAGCATCTGGCTCTCAGTCATGTGTGTGTGTGTGTGTGTGCGCGCAACATGAGATCCTGCATATTGGTGCTGCACTGACTCGATTGCTTTTAGATCCATCTCACAAATATTTAAGAGAAGAGATGGAGCATGCTGTTAGCGTTCAGAGCATCATCGCTAGCTGAGTTCTCATAGAGAGCCACTAGCTAAGTAGCAGGCAAGCTACGTTAGACAGTGTAGCAGCATTAAATCTGACAATAAGATGATTTACACACACACACACAAACACACACATATATATATATATATATATATATATATATATATATATAACTGGATGTGAACTGGCATCTGATAGCTTTAAAATGCCTCCCAACATCCAGCCATTCCCTCACCCACTGGGCGACACCAGATCCTCCCAGAGGGAGAGGAGGGGTGGGGGATGGGTGTGTGCATCCACTCCATCTTCCTCTGGAAAAGAAGGTCAGATCGATCATTGTGAACATATTGATGGGAGTGTTTCATTACACAGAGACGGAGGTTAAAACACTGAGCTGGTCCACTCAACGGCCTGCAGCTCCTCCTCAGTTCGAGCGTTTGAGATTCACAATATAAGAGTGAAAACATCATGTAAATCAAATGATTGTCACTCACTTACTTCCTGTTTTCAACAGGTGGCGCTCTGACAATGACGTCATAGTAGCATGCAGATGTTTTCAGTGTGTCCAATCTGCCTTAAATTTCACATGTTTGATGACAGCCTCAAAGTATATTATAGTTATAGCAACTTCCTGTTTCATGGTGAAAACTTTCACAATAAAGTACCATCAAGGTCTGAAGTATTTTCTGACCAAGTTTGAAGTGGATGCTATTGCCATTAGGTGGCGCTATGAGTATACCTGCATATGCACTGTGTTTTATAAGAGTATAACTCTTATTATTATAACAACTCTCTGTTTCGTGGTGAAACGTCGAAATGGCGGCACAGTTTTCACAATAGTGCTTAATATTTAAGAGTTGAGTACAAAACTGTATTTCATCCATAAGATCTGATTCTTCTAATCTATACATCTGCACACAAACACACTTTTAATCCACGGTTTTATTTGCACTCAGCTCTTCAGACGACAGCTTTAATTGTATAAGCCACAATAATAATAATTAGAAATACTTGATGCTAATTTTTCTGCTGATTCTTTAAAATATTCATGTTTTTGGAGCGTCCCTGCTTCTCATTATGAGACTGTTTTGAAAAGAAAAGTACAGCTGATGAAAATCTCTTTCCCTTTTATTCAGACGTGGACGAGGTCACGTCGTGTTTGTGACGTTTACAGAAGCAACAATATCTGCTGCCTTTACACACAAGTGCTGCTTTAACATGGGAAGTCAAGTACAGGATATGTTTGGCATTCAAGTGGATTTAGTTTGAGAGCGCTGTTGCTAGGTGATGGGCGACTGCCTCGCTCCCTTTTAAAGGTGCAAGATGATTTTGTGTTTATTGGATTTCAGCATTAAAGCTCCATATTTTATACTTTTATTTGAAGTGTTGATCCACCAGAAGATATATTTAAACCATCTCAGTGTAGTTTTACATCTCCTCTCTCAGGCTTCTCTCTGGAGCTCTAGTAACAACAGGTCGGTGAGCCAATCAGAAGAGAGGAGGCTCTGAGCCTCTCAAATGATTTTGGGATAATGTTTGAAATGACTGAGTGAAGGAGAAGCAGGCGTAGGAAAAAGTGGCTGCTCCATGAAATGTAATGATGGCTTTGATGGCAGAGCAGTGTTTTGCTCATCCTGTCCTCTCTGAACTTTTCTTCTCTCCCTCTTTTCTTACTGCCTAAAATTTACAGTCGAAGCTCTTCCTTTCTTTCTTCCTCCGTCGAGCTCTGTGAAGCGCTTGTCACGTTAAAAAGCAAGCTGAACTCTCTCTGTGCTTGTGTGTGTGTGTGTATGTGTGTGTGTGTGTGTGTGTGTGTGTGTGTGTATGCAGGTGATCCAGGCTGTGTTTTTCGGCGTGTGCGTCCTGATCGATGTGTCCAGTCTGCTGACGAAGGGAGGCGACAGCAGGGAGCAGGAGCGGCAGCTGAGGAAGCTGATTGGCCTGAGGGACTGGATGATGGCCGTGCTGGCCTTCCCTGTCGGAGCGGTGAGCTGGATGGATGCACACACACACACACACACACACACACACACACACACACACACACACACACACACACACACACACACACAGCCTGGGGTAGGATCAGCCTGGCTTGCAGGAATCAAAGGCTTGAGTAATGTGTTTGCAGTATAATCAGCTCTCTCCTCTCCTCTGCAGGGTGGTGACAGCAGTTTTCTACAAACCTCTAATTATGGAAATTTTTTGTGTCAAATGGCCTGAATGTTGGTTTCCTCTTTTATAAGTCCCATAAAAAACACAGTCAGGTTTGAAAGTCCTTGTTTAAGTCACGATACATTTAGACCTCGGTGAGACAAGACGCTTTTTATTCAGACTTTTTTTTTTTTTTTTTTAATTTGTCACATGGTGCAGTTAGCCCGAGGCCGAGTCTGAGGGCTTTACTTAACAACAACAATAAACTATTCAGCAGCATCTCTGAGTTATATAAAAGGTCACTCCAGGGGCTATCCACAAACAAACACGCTGCTTTATTAAAATCAGTCATTTATAGTTCAAACAAATAATCAGTTATTGGAAGAAAACAACAGAGAGATCAATCAGAAGTGACAATAATCACCAATAAACAGACATGAGCTGTTTACACTGATTCCACAGCAACGTAACTGAAGAGGCTTTGTCAGTTTGGACCCACTGACATGTTCTTGTTGTGTGTGTGGACAGTTAGACAACATGTCTGTAGGTCAACATTTATCCCTCCAGAGCAAAGTAATGGTTAATTAAGATCATTGATTGATTAATATACAAGAAACCTGCCACAGCAGCTGTAAAAATAAATCTCTTTATGGACAAAATAACCTGATTAATTAATTAATTCATCATTTCTCTCTGTAACATCCACCAAAAAAACTTTAGGTACAGTTTCAAATACTTGGGGATGGAGAGATTTTGGTGGTCAAAGGTCAGGACACTGTTTTGGCCTTGTGAACACGGTATGTCAGTAACAAATTTGGCACAAACGTCCACTTGAACTCAAGGACGAACTGATTAGATGAAAATTTCATGATTTTGTCCTTGTGAACGCGATATCTCCAGAACTCCTCAAGGAGAGAGAGAGAGAGAGAGAGAGAGAGGCAAGGAGACGTGGTGCGATGTCAGTAGAGTGGGCGGTCCTTCAGAGGACATCAGTAGAGTGGGCGGTCCTTCAGAGGACATCAGTAGAGTGGGCGGTCCTTCAGTGTGACCCAGGTCACATTCACAATGCTAAAAGAATGCGGTCTCATGGTCCAGACCACGTCTGAATCGGATCTCAAATTCGTGTCAAGTGCGTTCACACCTGAACTCAGAGCTGTCCACTTGTGATCTGATCACCTGAGATGGATGTTAACACCAGGTGTGGACAGGTGTGGACAGGTGTGGTGTGTCCACTGTGTGAGTGTGGACCTTCAGCAGCTCAGTTAAATCTCACTGTGAATAAACAGAACAGAGGAAACGGTGTGGACTCGTCCACTGTTGCTTCAGACAGCCAGACGGTGACCTCTGTCTGATCCTCAGGCTGTTCTCACAACACTACTCACATGGTTCAGCCTCACACACACACACACACACACACACACACACACACACTTGTATTCAAGATTTCAGTTGGCAAGTTGCCCTGTGGCACTGCACTGAGGAACCTGTCTGACAGCAACCATATCCTAAGTTTCGACACACATGCACACACACACACACACACAAACACACACACACACACACACACACACAGTCATGAATATGCATACTCTACACCCACACACTCTAATCACACACGGTTGATAGCTAAACGCCCCGAGCAACATCAGTGCCAGTTAGATCGCTGGCACCGTCAATGCTACAACACACATCTTCTCTGTCTGACACACACACACACACACACACACACACACACACACACCTATAGACCCAGTCAGCTGGCGTGGTGCCGCGAGTTGGACACAGAGTTCAGTTTACACACAGTACAATAGACATGATTATCACCACAGCTAATGTCTGGAAACCTAGTCTGACTGATATGGATAGAGAGTGTGTGTGTCAGTGTATGTGTTTGTGTGTGTGTTGTAGTGAGTGTGCAGGTGCATATATTACACTTATATATGTGCATGCATGTTCATATGGGCAGCTAGCAGTGTGGAAAATATGTGTGCGTATATGTGGCATACAAGAATGAAGTGTGTGTGTGTGTGTGTGTGTGTGTGTGTGTGTGTGTGTGTGTTGTTTCCTGCCACCACCGGCCTGTGTGAAAGCGAGAACGATGCCGTTCAAGTACAATGGGGGGGGGGTTCAGATGCCTCTAACTGGAACCCAGATGACGGGCAGGTAATTCCACCCCCGTCCTACATAACATGGTCTGGCCCGGGTCCAGAAAGGCTGCTGGAGATACATTAGACCAAGGATGTGTTCGCTTATGGTGCGTTCAGGAAGTGTGGGACAGATGGTGGTCGACCATCAGGATGTTCTGGGCCTCAAAAAAAAAACCCTAAATGTCAGCAGCCATGTTAGTGGGTTTGTGATGTGCTCTTTACAAAAACTAATTATTGGATGGATGTAAAAAAAGAGAGACGACGAACCTTTGCTACATATGGAGGGAAAACCTGTGAAGTTTGGCCTGAGGGTGTTTACGTCAATTAAATTAGACATGTTTTCAAGCTTTGGTTCTTTAGCTTTGGGTTCGGATTAATGTAAACATTAGCATGCCAAGATTTGAAGGCGCTATATCTAAGTTTTTGCTATTGCCACGTAGCTAACGTTAGCATTAACAGCTGTTTACTGACCAGTCTAGAAGAAAGGCTGTGAGGGGCTGAGAGACAGCACCAGTTCAACAGTGTCTCCTCATCTTTCATCTCAGGGTTTGTGTGCAGCTGTTTGGTGTTAACATGTGTTGTATAAGGACTGATGAGCTCTAACTTTGTGTTTTTATTTTTTCTTTCTGTCTCTTTAAGTTCGTGGTCTTTACGTTCTGGAGTCTGTACCTGTACGACAGAGACCTGGTCTACCCCAGACTACTGGACAACTTCATTCCTCAGTGGCTCAACCACGGCATGGTGAGTTTTCTGTTTCAATTTACTGATTGGTTGTCTGCATTAATGAAACCACTTCACTGACCCGTCATCATTAGAAACAGGTCACTGCCTCACATTTGCGCATCAGGCAGGTTGATACAGGTTGTGTACCGAACTGTAGCAGTGAAGAGTGAGCGGATATGATAATAATTAATTTAAATTTAACCAGGAACATGCCTCACTGGGATTAAAAATCCGTGAATCTCTACGATACGAGCAGCAACATGGAGCACTGACATTACAGAACATGACGTATACAGTAATAAATGACATTAATGATGCTGTTGAAACCAGAAGGATAACATAAACTAGATAAACTAACAGCAGTCAATCAATCAATCAATCAATACAAAGACAGTTAAAACATATTCAATTAATATATTAAAAGTCCTTTTATTAATACAAACTGGGAGGAAACCCCAGGGCAGATCAGACTGTAAACAAAGATGGCCGCCGCCTCTGTGACGTCACCCACAGGTTTCTGAAGCTCAGAGTGAGCTGCTCCACCATCGCCATCTTTGCAGTGTCTCCGCCCCCTAACTCCCAGCTAAGGCATAAATAGTCAAAGAGGTGGGGCGTGTGTGGAGCTGAGACTCACACACCTGTCACTCAAAGAGACAGGTACCATGCCACGCCCTCAATCCTCCATAACTGTAGTCCTTAATAAAATGTAAACAGGTGAGTTTTATAAACAGGTGTCATGAAGGAGGAAATTAGCTCTAGAGACCAAAACAGTTTTTGTACCAGGCTGTAAACATGTTTATTTCTGCTGTAAAGTTGGACATTTTAACATGGGAGTCTATGGGGACTGACTCACTGTTGGAGCCAGACTCTAGTGGTCGTTAGAGGAACTGCAGCTTCAGGTTCTTCATGTTTCATCCTCAGAGGTTTCTGCTTGGGGCAGACACACTGTGGGGGATTATATAAGAGTCCTGCTCCTGGTCCAGTTTTGCAAAACCTCAGAACCTGAACCTACTCAGCAATCATCTCTAAATAAATCCCAGATGTGACGTTACTTTCATCTCTTCCAGTTTCCTGCGTCTCATTAATTTTTGCGTGCAGTAGTAAATGAACATGTGTTTGTTCCTATACACTACATGCAGTTCATGTTGGTCAGGTCAAGGCATTTACATCATATATGTCCGCTCTGGTGTCAGATCAGTGGCTGTAAATTGGTTGATGGATCCTCATATTATATAATGTTTGTATATGATATATGTTCTACACGGCAGGACATGTAAAATGAGTCCTGCTTGGGTCATTACTCATATCAGTGGATCATAAGCTCCATAAAGCTCTTATCTTATCAGCGGTCAGACTCGGAGCTGGTGAACCTCTGGATTTGAATAGAGCTGTTCGCGGGTCGTTGGCTTTGATTCACCATCTAGAGGAAGCGGGTTTAATCTAATGTTTAGACAGCGACTGACACACACCGCGCCGTGTCACCTGACTGATAACGCCGTCAGCTGTGTGTGCGTTTCAATCAGCCGCTGAGATTATCTCAACATTTTTCCAGCGCCCTGACTGCAGTATGCAAAAAAACCTCCTCATCAAACTTCCTTGAGCCAGAGCGCCGTCCGCAGAGCGGCGTGAGGTGAGGAGGTGTGTGTGTCATGTTTTTAAACTATTAATCCCACAACACTACTCTGAAATCGAAAGAGACAAAGACAGCTTGTGCGTCTGTTTGGTCTCTTCTCCTACTCCAGGAGGTGATGTAATAAGCTGAGTGGTTGCTATGGCGCCGTCGCCAAGGACCAAAACAACCAGAACACCACCAACGGCCGTTTTTGTGTGTGTGTGTGTGTGTGTGTGTGTGTGTGTGTGTGTGTGTGTGTGTGTGTGTGTGTGTGTGTGTGTGTGTGTGTGTGTGTGTGTGTGTGTTAGAGACAGAAAACGTGAGGAGGTCTGTGCACGTGCGCAGGCCTTTGTGTAACATTGTGTGTGCGATGGGAGAGACGCGTGTGTGTGTGTGTCCAGTGGTTGTAAATATTTTGCGGTATTCCATGGTATCGCTGTTGTTTGTTTATGCTGGCTGCCACGGCAACCGTGTCGCCATTCCCATCGGAGGAGGGAGGGGTCGAGCGATGCAGAGCGAACGAGAGGAAAAGATGCAGCAGTGCTGCCAGTGGAGTAATTGAAAGAGAACAAGTGAAGATTGACTGCAGACTTGTTGTTGCTCCATTATCTGATACTTATGCACTTGATGTGATTCCTGAAAACTCATTACCTTCCATTCTTTATTTCCTCTAACAGCCGCTGCAGTTTGTTATTGAGTTTGAGGTTGAAGTTAAGCAGCTTCTTCCCTCACTGTGAATGTAGATGAACAGATATGAAGCTAATCACACTTCCGATAAGTTCAGACAGGATACCACTTCTAAAGCTCCATGTTTCTTCTTCTTCTGTGTTTTATTTGAAGTGTTGATCCAACAGAAGATATAAAAACCATCTCAGTGTAGTTTTACATCTCCTCTCTCAGGCTTCTCTCTGCAGCTCTAGTAACAACAGGTCGGTCAGCCAATCAGAAGAGAGGAGGCTCTGAGCCTCTCTTCTGATTGGCTGACTGATACTTTCACAGTATTAATATAGAACCTAAACATGGACAGAGACCTTTAGACTGGATGGAGCTTTAAGCTTTTTAGTAGAAGCAACTGTGGAAACAGTTCGGTGGTAACAAATCAGAAAAAGATGAGATATCAAAAACAAAAGTTCGACCAAACTTTCAGTGTCCTAGTTACGTCCAGTCTAGTGTCAGCTGGTTTCAGCCGACTGAGTTAGAAGCTCATTAATATCAGCCGCTGTGTGAGAGGTGTTCCTCTTCTACAGAAAGACGCCACACACCTCTGTTTATTCATACTGTAAATGACTGAGCTTTATCTGATAACCCAGTGATTCCCAACTTTAAACACAGCCATATACACTGTACTGTGGACTCTCTGTCACAGGTTAGCTATGATCAGAGAGTGTGATTTGAATAGCTGTAGAGGCCTGAAGAGGTAAATACACGTCGTGTTGACAGGTCTGAAATATGATGGTTGGTGTTTCTACTTCAAACTAAAGAGCCTTTGACAGCAGACAGATTTTCTTTTCCTCTGACAAAGTATTTAAACCCTTTTCTCAGTTTCTTCCAGCATCACACAGACTGATTCAGGGCGGGGTCCTCTTCTGCTCAGTGTCGGTTACTAAGAGAAAAACACTGATCAAAACAAAAACTCAACTTTTACCATTTTTTGTTTTTTAGTTCCACAGTTAAATGAGTTATCGTCTCCTCACAAGCATATCTAAGTGTTTCTGTGTGTGTGTGTGTGTGTGTGTGTGTGTGTGTGTGTGTGTGTGTGTGTGTGTGTGTGTGTGTTAGTCTCACACTGAGTCTGACGCCATTGACCTGTGACACACACACACACACACACACACTGCTCTCTGCACTGCTGGCCGATAATCAGCTGTTCGTTCACATCTGGTGAATCACTGTCGGGTTTGGGTACATTCTCTCTCACACACACACACACACACACACACACACACACACACTCACTCACTCACTCGCTCACTTGCTCACTCACTCACTCACTCACTCACATTCACTCACATTCACTCTTGCAGATCAGCATCCTCACTTAACCTTCCTCTCTTGCCCCCGCTTTGTTGTCATCACTCTGTGTTTCTGACAACTTGACAACTTGTGTTATTTTTAGTGACATATATATATATATATATATATATATATATATATGTAATCAATAAATCATTATTGATCTTCCCAATAACCAATAGTCATCAAACACCAAAGGTTCTTCATGATGATTCTTAATGTATTGTCAGTTCAAATCAGTATTAATTTAAACACATGAGATTGTAGAGGAGATAAGTGACGCCTTTCAGTGAGCAGTGAGCTAATATTGGCCGATTCATCAGTTTAGCTCTAATCAAAACTTAAAGTGAAGATTTCTTTCAAGATACAACAGTGTTATAAGTATTTTTTTCTTTTAAATGCATCAAAATCACAGAAATCCAGATGTAATTGTTGTTATCTGTGAACTGTGATTGTACAAACAGAAACTAATAACGCCAGGCCTGTCTCTCTGCACCCTGTGCACAGGGTAAGACGAGTGCAGACTCTGCAGAAAGTGGAGCAGGATTGTCCCTCTTAGACGTGATAAGCTCCTTAAGTCAGAAAACAGTTGAGAAAAATGTCAACAGGAGACTTTTCATTTGATTTTCAGGGTTCAAGTAGAGTTCAGTTGAAAAAGCTTTATCGGTGCAGCGTTGCAGGACAGAGCAACAAGTTCTGCTTCAAACCCTGAGGCACCCACCAATGGATTCATCTTCACCATCTTCTGTAAAAAGTTTATTTTAGATTCTAGTGAAGATACAAATGTTTTGAAAGATTTTGGCGCCAATTCAATGTCATAAAGTCACAATGACACAACTCTGCAGAGGGCTTTTGATTTGAAACTGGAGACATGTGGTGACACCTAACTAGCTAACATCATGCTCGATAGATGAATCTACTTGTTGATATACTGCCAGCGTACAACAAAACTAGTTGAACCGGCCATTGAGCGTACCTGGACAAATCCTGGTGGGCTGCTGTATCCAGGGGCCGGTGGACTGTCAGTTAAGTTTATACCTGCACGGTCAGTCTGTTTACCGCCCTGTGTGCCTGTCAGTCAGGGTGCACATGACAGCGTGCTGTGTTGAGTTTTGTTTTTTGAATGTGAATTTTTTTTTAAATTTAAAATAGTAAGTAGAGCGCAGATCCCCTTGTTATTATAAGAGAGACAATGCACTTTTTAAGTCTCATAAAAACAGATTTAGACAGCAGGAGTTTCATATGTCACAAACCTAAGGAACCAATCCAGTCAACTTGTGGGGACGGGGGCGGGGCTAAATAAACCTGAAACCTTGTCAATACAGAGAGAGTGAGTTAGCATTAGCGCAACCGTTAACACTATGTCAGCTACTGCCAATTACAAGCTAACAAA